CCTTCAGTGCGTGCAGCTGCAGCTCCTCAAGCACCTCGGCGATCGCGTCAAGGCCGGTGAAGTGGAGAGGTTGGACGGCGGCAGGAGCTTGCACCAACCCTCCCTCCGTCGTGACGATAAAGTCCAGGTTCCCGAAGCGCACGTGCGCGCCCGGGACCCAGCTGACGCCGTGAATAGCATCCGAGGCCTGGTGTGGATGTCGAGACGCACAAAAGGCCCCTACCTAGCGCGCCAACTGTCGGTGTTTCGAGTTACCACCGACGAGTAAATTTGTATTATTGCGCGTCTAACTCGGATGGTGTGCTTAGAGGACACGAGGTTTATACTGGTTCGGGCAGAAAGTCCCTACGTCCAGTTCGTCGTTGCTGCTCATGTTACTAGCACCGAAAGTTTATAGTAGGGGTTACAAACAGACAAGAGAGGAAAAGGATCCCAAGTGTCTGGTGAAAAGAGTGAGTGGGTGATGAGAGCTCGATCGCTGCTCAGCTGTGCGTTCGTGTCGTGCTCTTGTGCGGATCTGTATCGGATCTTGATGGGTCGATCGGTTCGAGATCCTCTTCATGGGGTGCCCTGCTTTCCCTTTTATAGGCCAAGGGAAAGCGCGGGTTATAGCGGAGGAAAAGGAGAAGAACGAGAGAGAGGAAGGCCTATAGGATCATCGGGTCCTTCTTCTCCTTCATGCGAGTCCCACCGCCCCTGTAGATGTCAACAGGGACGGCTCCACATCGTGGTCTTGTCCGTCACTGGCGCCATGCGCAGGCATCATCCGCTGGTCATGGCGCTCCACTCCGCCCTGGCGGACGTCGTGGTGAACTGACGCGCATGTCAATGTTTATACGAGGATTAGGCAGAACAGCACCGGTACGCCCGACGCTGTTCTTGATGTGAATCCTCAGGTATGGCCCATCGTGGCCGCGGGTTACATCGGGGCGTGCCGGTCTCTTATTTGGTGTCAGAGTTTTGACACAGGCCCATACGCTTGGACCTGGAGTGGTTGGCGGCGGTATGGTCCTGTCGGGCGAGACGGAGCCCGCACCCAAGGGGTCTGGTGAGGCGGAGCCTGCGGTCTTGGGGTCGGGCGAGGCGGAGCACAAACCCAAGGGTCGGGCTAGGCGGAGATCGCGGCCTCGGGGTCGGGCGAGGCGGAGATCGCGACCTCGGGGTCGGGCGAGGAAAAGCCCGCGCACCTGGGGGTCGGTTGGAGCTGTAGGCACGCTCTTGACTGCTCGGTTGAATCAATGTTGATGATCATTAACTCCTCATCTTCGGATACCCTAGTATTGGTCCCCGACATAAGTCTACTCAGCATTAACACATTTAAGTAGGTATATGTGATTTTCGTGCAAAAGTAAGATAAGGCCAGGTGAAGCCAAGAACTGCATACACAATGTCAATAGGCATCGTCTTGACATCATTAGAACGTATGAGGTCGATAATAGGGTCTACCTTTTAGAAGTTTTATTCAGAAAGCTCTACCTTTACCTGCAGCATCTGGCATTCTCTCTCTTCATGTCATCATGTGCGTGAAAACCAATCACCAGAGAGATTGTTCCAACTTGCAAGCAGTTAGGATGCTTAATTAGCTAGTCTGACAGAATGGCAAGTATCACATTACATATAAATATTAAAACAAAGTGCGCATCAGTTTACTACCAATTAAGGTTCGTCAGATAGGCACTGTGGAAATGGAAACCATCCATAAAAACAAACAGCATACACTTGAATCCAGTTTTTGGAAATGAAATAGCATGGCGCCTCACACCAGGTACCAGCAGTGCTTCGGCTCAATCAGACCTGCAGCTGTTCATTCAGAAGGAAAGAGCCATGTTGGATTCATCAGGCTGCCATCTGGTGCCCGAAGGTTGTCTTCTGTTATTTCCACAGCAAATGGCGCCAACGTACCATCCCTCATGTTGTACACAAACTTATCAAAAGGGGACGCATTTCTAGAGTGGTTGAGGCCACCATCAATGAAGTAGATGAGATCATCTTCGACTCCGTCATACAGACATACATGGAACGAATTGCTGCTGCAGGGGCTGATGAAAATGCAGTCGCCATCCAAGCTGTTGATCTCAGTGAATCTGAAAGGGTTTGTGCTCAGGTCCACCTCAAATACCCCAATCTTACAAATATTGTGCCAGCCTTCAAGTCCCAAGTATATCACAACCAGCAATAGTTTCCCATGCCACTCAACTATGTTCCACCTCTGTCCATAGCTATCCTTGACCTCAGGCAGTTCAGTCACACAACGCTCGACACCAGAAACCATCAGGCCACTCTCATCTTCTGAGATGTCAAAGACAAAGAGGTTCGTGGTGACCTTGCTAAACATGTAGACCTTTCCCTGGTACAAGGCAATGTCACTGAACTTACTGATGCAGCCACCTTGGCACACGCACCACGACGTCATCCCAGGCCGCCAGAGGGCAAGGCTAGCTGTGCTCCTGTGCACGGAGACAGCAGCCACGATGCACTTGCCATCATGGTCCGGTGAGGAGGACAAGACTACCTTGCAGAACGACATCACATACTGGGCGCCATTGACCGTGCATTGCACTGCACCAGAGCCATTAGCGATGGGGAGAGATTTACTATAGGCATCGAGGGAGTGGGTGTTTACAGAAGGCGGCGGGAGGCGGACGACGTCCTGGTAGAAAGCGTTCATCAGGAAGCACCGGCCATCACCAAAGTAGCGACCTTTGTTGAGCTGCACGCCGACGAGCCACCCGTGAAAGGAGCCCACGCAGCGGACGCCAACCGCCATCTCCCGTGAGGGCAGAGGGATGCGTCGCACGCCCGCCATAGCCCCGTCGGCGCAGAAGGCGGAGAAGGAGAAGTCGGAGAGCACGAGCAGCGGGAGCGGCGGCGGCGGCCGTCCGTGAACGCGCGCCGCGGCGCGCCACGCCCGGCAGACAGAGCGCAGCCTGGCGCGGTCGTCGACGCGGGGGAGGCGACCGACCACGAGTCCCAGGATGTCCGCCGGGAGGTCCGCCCACGATTGGAGCTCCGGCTCGCGCCCCGCGCTGGGCCTTGCCGGCTCGGGAGCCGGGGGGCGTTCCGTCGAACGCCTTGCCTGCACCCAAGCCACGGACGGCGGTGGTGTGTCACGCCAGCGCCCGTGTGGGGCGCGGACGGGTAGAGGTGGGCCTCGCCTCCGTCCACGGGCTACTGTGCTCGTGCCGCGATCCATGGCCGCCTTGGATCCTCGTCCCCGTGGAGATGAGGCCCTTGCATCGGGCGCTGAGTGCCTCGGCTCCTTCGCGCAACTGCACTAGCGTTGGCTTGAAGGCTGTAGGCCTGTCGCCTGTGCCCTGTGAGTGGCTAGCGCTTGAATCGTGGTAAAAAGAATTTGCTGTGTGTGTTATCCCTGGAAAAAGTTGCCAATTTCTTTTTGCTAAAAGAGCCTTGACTGCCTTTCGGTGTCTGTCTTGTGGGCCGCCTATCCTATTTCAAAGGAAAATTATACCAATATTTATGTCCGACACTATTCATTTTTCCTGTCCTACATTCTTATTATTTTATTAAAAATGTCAAAAACGTCCCCAAGTGAACTACAATCACGTCTTCACGTCAAGTACTTTATAATATACTCCCTTTATTCTAATTTATAGATCTTTTTAACATTTCGAGATACACATATTTTATTATATATCTAGATGTATTGTAAATCTAGACATAAAACAAAAAATATGTACTGGAAAAACCAAAGCGACCTATAAATCGGGACAGAAGGTCGTAGTAATACTCACTGTCAAGCAATTTCTTACGCGGTTTGAGGGTTACACTATGTTTTAACGATTGTTTCCAGACCAATGCCAAAGTCTAATTGTGGATTGATAATTTCAGAACAAAATTAGCACGTCATGTTTGTTTATCAAAAGAACAATATCTCATGTCGTATCATAGGTTTAATTTGGGGAATCACTCCATTCAAGGTGAGGCTACGCATCATGAGTCCATTCTTCAAATTTGATGGAATACCTCTAATCCCCATAATAATATTAATTATTATCTCGTGAGGAATGAGGTGAATGATGTATCAACCTATTCCATCTCATAAAACAAAAAAATGAGTAGACGATGAATTATCTCATGCATTGAATCAGTCACTATATATTCCGACCGCTTGCAAGTGAAATTTGCAAGCTCTCTAAGGTGAAATTTTGTTCTCGTACACGCATCCTTAGATGCATCACGATTGGATTGTCACCCCTAATTAAGAACATTCCAGACCAATCGATCGAACTTACAATTTAGATTTAGACTCCCCGTCCTTAGAATGACAAAAGATCATCCACTTTTAGCGGTTACAAGGCTTTCTCAAGCTTGAAAAAAAGAGAGATGAATCATGTAAGAACCTCTTAATCTAATAATCTATTGCATGTGAAATTCATGCTGATTTGTTACGAGAGAAAAACACTGTTCGTTCGCTGAAAAGTACCGTCGAAGTAGTACTGCATAACATAACAGGATCAGTTTCGGTAGAACAAAATAATGACCAAAACGTGACCAAAACGTGACCATAACAGGATCTTGACCTTTTTAGGCATTAATGATCACCGTGATCGTTAAACTGCCCCTTCCGTAATAACGGTGGGCCAATTTGGATGATCATGGTTTGGCTGACAAGAGAAAATCCTCGAGTGGATCCTATTCGACTGGAATCCTGCTTTCTCCTTGTTTGGTGTGGCACACCGCACACGGACTCACTCGCCCTACGCGGCTACGCATCGGCACACGGCGCGCTTGAGGCCTCGCGAGTCGCGAGTCGACTCTCCCTCCCGTTTCCCGGCCGCGTCCCTCGCCCCACCAATCCAACTCCAATTCGTCCTCCCCCTTGAGGTCGCCGCGCCCAACGCAGCAGCGCCGCGGGGAGGGAGCTGGCTGTAAAGGAGAAGGAATTCGATCGGGAAAGCATGATCTTGGTCTCCGGCGCTCCTCGCCGTCGAGCTCGAATCGGGAGATAAGAAAATCTGCTGCGGGGAGCCCCATAGAAGATGGCGCCGCACCCGCACCCGCAGGAGGACAAATCAGACCGCCACAGCGCCGGCGCCGGCGCGTCGAGGGAGCAGGAGCGGCGGCCGTCCAAGGCATGGGGAATCCTCATCTTCGGCCTCATCGGTGTCACCACTGCCAGTTTCGCGGTGCGTGCCCCTCTCCTCCCCTTGTTAGGCTTGTGTTCGTTAGAATTTCTTGAGGATGCTATCCCACATGACGCGTCGTTAATGTCTGGCAGTTCTAGCCTGCTTCGCTAGGTTCCGTGGTTAGTCTAGCTTGCGCGTCGACCTACTGCTTAGTTGCAGTTTTGCTCTGCGTAGGCCAATTGGGTATCAAGTGATCCAATCTTATCGTTCACAAGCCTACAACAACTTTGCTAGTATGGAAACCTTATAATCAGGTAGAGCTTACTAATCATGCGCATGAAATTGGTTTGTAATATTTGCTACTGATGTGAGATTATTGGCAATTTTGCGTTTCTATCATATTTGTGATATGTACTTGCTCTGGATTCTTTTATTTGTTGCGCTATCTAGTTGTTGCGAAGATTTCATATTTGACCTTTCATTTGTGTTCCTGTGGAAGTCCAGATTACTCAAGTTCGCAGAAGCGTGGACTGGTTCTACACTCAGGTAATATAATTAGCTATGGGTTATTAATTTGTTAAATTTCTTAGTGCAGACTCATACTGTTCTTTAAGCGTGTCCTCCTTAGCCAAGGAGGACAACATTATAGATCCTTTGTTGACAAGTTTTAGCCTGACAAGACAAATCTAATGTAATGAATTTAAGTCCCAAAATCTCTCAAGCCTTGGATATGTGGTTATGATATTAGGTGGTATCTTTAGGTAAAACCAGCATAGAAGGGTTTCTAGGTCAATATGATCTCCCAGGATAATTGCTAGTTTTTCCCTCTATGTATCACCCTTCTATGCCTAATATTGCACTGCAATAGGGCAGTAGGGTGACCCTCCGCATCAGGCCTTGTGACCTTGTCCCCTGTCAATTCCACTTAGTCGAAGGGTTTGCTCAGGGAAAATGCTGCCTAGTCGAAGTCATGGAGTTGACTAAACTTTCCTGTTTTTGATTTATGATCATATGTTTCTGCCCTATGCTTGCTTATACTTGGTTAAACTCTTTGAAAATAAACTTATATGCTCCTTTCCTTCAAAAGTTGAATAAAGTGCAGACAACATCGTCTTGGAGGTATACAAGTAATAGCTCAAGTCGTGGAAGTTTCAGTGAGGAAGCTAAGAAAAGATATTATCAGCGAATGCAGCAGGAATATGAAGAGGAACAAGAGAGAGTTGTGAGTTTACATATATTCATAATCTTTTTTTTTTTCTGTATTCAACAATCAACACAAGTATGGTACACTTATCTTCAATGCACAGATGGAAATTTTAGATTACATGTATTGCTACCACATATATTTTCACTGTGCATTGAGATATCACTTTTAATCCGTGTGTATGCTGACCTTTTGTCTGCTTAAAATTTTCCAGCAAAGAATAAGGCATATGCAAAGTGTTTTCAACAGCGAGAGGAATAAATTTAGACGAGGTTATGAAAGCTGGAGGGAGAATGGCCCTCCTGGTGGCTACAATTACATCCCTCGGGATGATTGGTATTGGCAGACTGATACTTCTCACTCGGAACATAAAAATAGACGGACGTACACACCGGCAGGACCTAGGGTTTATCCTATGTCGCATCACTATGCAGTTCTGGGTCTTGACAGGTCTTTATTGAAACCTCTTGCTGTGAATTTCTGCTCATCTTTTGATCTAGTTGTGACATGGTAGACTGTCTTGGACTAATATTCAGTCCTTGGCCTTTAAATCCGTATTTATGAGCTGAGCCAATTGATTTGCTTTGTGCTTTTCTCAAATCAAATCAATATTTCTCTGTTGCACAACAAACTCCCTATTTATCTTTTTATAGTGTGGTATTGACAAGCACTTTCTTGTTGCATAATGATTTTCCCATACTTTTTTGAAAGTACATTTTGCTATTTTCATTGTCATTTTACTGCTCTTGTTTTAAAAGAAGAAGCTGTAAACTGGTATTGAATATTGTTTTATTGGACAAAGTGATTGATAGATATATACATTAGGAAAGTGTATATTAGGCAAGTCTATATTTAGTATGATTAGCACCTGCCATGTATTGCATATATCTATCAGTGATTTTGTCATCCCTGTTTCCTGTGATTCCACTGCCTTTTCTTGAACTTTGAAAATCTATGTACTGCATTCCAAATGCCAAATCTCATACAGTTGTTTTCCTGGTAAAACATATTTCTTCCTTTGTAGATCACGAGCAACACCATATACAGATGCAGAAGTGAAGGTAATGCAATTTATCTGTCATGCTATTGTTCCTTGTGCCCTGCATTTTCATGTCTGGAGAACATGTTGTCTGATAACACTCATGTTGATCATTATACAAACAAAAAAAGCCAACTATAAGATTCCCAACCTAGCTATCTGCATTTTTTTTCATTTAAATTTGATTGGTATTGGTATCTTGGATAGTGAGGGTTTCCATGGCTTCATGTTTAGAGTTATATATGTCACTAATACGGGATGGTTATATTTGTCAAGATTATTGCCTTTCACTATCTCCTTTGAGTTTACTATAATCAAATCTTCCATGTTTTAATTTCTTTTTAGTTTAATGGAGCTGATTATGAGGATGATGACTGAGAATTTTGTATTTTATAAAGAGGCTGAACACTTCTCTTGTGTCTTCTTAAGCAAGAGACAGTTTATGGCCCAAATATGCACTCACTCTATTTTATCTAGACATTTTCATTCCATAACCATTCTACTGGAAATTCCTTGGGCCTATTGGAGTTGTGGTTAGTTGGGGAGATAGACTGGGTAGATTCATAAGAGGGGGTTATGTTTGTAGGAAGGTCCCAAAAAATTGGCAGGACTTAGGGCTATGTATATCATACTTGATCTATGGTCTCGTGCTCTTGTTATCTGACTTTCAGACTTCACCTGCTGCAGACTGCTTTTAGAACAAAAGCAATGGAAGTCCATCCTGATCAAAATCAAGATGATAGAGGTAAACATCTTCTTTTCTCCATGGACACTGTGGTTCTTCTAATTCCAATGTAGTTGCTTCCTGACAGTCATTATTCACTAACACCACGAATGTTTGGACTGGTGCAGAGGCTGCAGAAGAGAAGTTCAAGGAGGTTGTCAAGTCTTACGAAGCAATTAAATTGGAGAGAAAAAACGGTTAAGTTGATGCAAACTTCCAACGTGATCGGATCATGCGGGAAAGACTGGGATCAGTTGTAACTTGCCCTGTATATGTAATCAGCTGTTGCCGGCAGCTTGATGAAATTGTATCTGCTGTTGCTGTTGCTGTAGCACGAGTTCCATTTATGAGCTTGTGCGATGTAGACTAGGATAGGTTCAAAAGATGTGATTTTGTTCGTTTAGCCACTAGCTTGACGTGCTCACGTGCATAAATGCCATAAACTTGACAAGTGGACAGGACCACAAGGGCGAGCACTTTTGTTGCCACTTAAAGCTGGGAGTTGTGTTGTGTTCACTGCTCTATACCTGGTGCCTGGTGATTTCATTTGGTGGAAATTGATACCTGATCCGAAAAATAAAAACAGTGCATAGCATAGATGATATATCTTCCTGCTTCTGCTGTATTGTGTTCATTTATATTTTGATGCATCATTGGTCCAAGATATATCTAATACGGTACCATAGTTCAGCAGATCTAGAACACCGTTGAACTTAAGTGGGGGATAGAGTGTGCAATTCATACGGTGTAGGTTATAGTTAGAAGTCGAGCAATTTGCAGCTGAAAATTACCCAAGCACACAACCTTATAATCAAATTTTATCATTTCGTTTGCGCGTAAAGCACTTGAGGTCGAATACGAAAATTTGTCTGTCTGCTGTCGATACAGCAGTTTTCGTTGAGTACATTTCACATCGCTGCATCTCGTCCGCCACGGGCCACAGCCGGCCTCACCCCGCCAGTCCGCGACCATGCGGTGCCTCCTCTCCACCCCTCTCCGCCGCGGCCTCTCCACCGCCGCCGCCGACGATCCTAGCCTAGCCTCCTCCGCGGAGCACGCGTACCGGCTCCTCCGCCGCCACCACTCCGACCAGCAGAGGCTCGCCGCCGCGCTGTCCGCGTCGGGTCTCGACGCCTCCTCGCCGCACCTCCTCGACGCCGTCCTGCGCCGCTGCGGCGCCGCCTCCTCCCTCGCGCTGCACTTCTTCCACTGGTGCTCCCCGTCGTTGCCCTCGCTGCTCCCGTCCTCCCTAGCGCTCCTCGCCAAGTCCTTCTCCCGCGCCTCCTCCGCGCCGTCCCCGTCCCTCCTCGCGCCGCTCCCCTCTCAACTCCTCGGCCCCTCCCTCCTGCGCCCCGTCCTGCGCCGCCTCCCGCAACCGCGCCTCCTGCCGTTCGCGCTCTCACTGCTCTCCGCCCGCCCCGACCACGACCAGCCCGCCCTCTTTCTTTCCCTCCTCGAGTCCCTCTCCAAGGCCGGCCACGTCGTCACCGCCGAGCAGCTTGTCGAGGAGCTCCAGCCCCGGTTCCCGCTTTCGCTCCGCCACTACACGGCCCTGCTCTACGGATGGTGCCGCCAGGGCAAGCTCGACGAGGCCAAGCACGTGCTCGCTCGCATGAAGGCTGCGGATGTCGCCCTTGACGTCGTCGCCTTCAACACCCTGCTCGCTGGCTTCGTCGCGGACGGGAGGTTCGAGGACGCGTTCGAGCTGGCGGGGCAGATGGAGCTGCGTGGCTGCCCGCCGAACGCGGTGTCGTACACCACCCTCATTCAGGGGCTTGGCTCGAGGGGGAGAGTTGATGAGGCCATGCGGGTGTTTGTGGAAATGCGAAGGAAGGGGTGCGCGCCTGATGCTGTCACGTACGGCACCCTGGTTAGCACGTTTTGCAAGGCTGGCAAGATATCCCAGGGGTACGAGTTCTTGGACGCCATGTCAAGGGATGGCCTGCGGGTGGACGCTGCTGTGTACCATGGGTTCTTTGTTGCACACGAGAAGGAGCAGCTTGAGGAGTGCCTGGAGCTGATGGAGAGGATGCGGGAGTGCCGGTGTCCACCAGACCTCAAGATATACAATGTGGTGATTCGGTTGGCCTGCAGGCTTGGGGAGACCAAGCAAGCCATGACATTGTGGAATGAGATGGAAAGTGGTGGGCTCAGCCCTGGGGTCGATACATTTGCTATCATGGTGAGTGGCCTTGTTGGGCAGGGTTTGCTGATTGAGGCATGCAGTTATTTTAAAGACATGGTTGGGAGGGGGCTCTTTGTTGCACCGCAATATGGGGTGCTCAAGGACCTCCTCAATGCGTTGGTCAGAGATGAGAAACTTGAGCTTGCGAAGGATGTTTGGGAATGTATTGTGAGCAAAGGCTGTGAGCTCAATGTGAGTGCATGGACTATTTGGATACATGCATTGTATGCGAAGAAAAATGTCAAGGAGGCCTGCCTGTATTGCTTGGACATGCTAGAGGCAGGGCTGATGCCACAGCCTGACACATTTGCAAAGTTGATGAAGGGGCTGAAGAAGCTGTACAACTGTCAGATTGCTGCTGAGATCACTGAGAAGGTTAGGAAGATGGCAGAGGAGAGACATGTTAGCTTTAAGATGTATAAGAGACGTGGGGTGAGGGATCTTGAAAAGAAACCCAAGGCAAAGAGGAAAGGACAGAAACAGAGGCGTCGGGGGCAGCCTGGTCATGGTCAGTCTAGTAGGAATGCTGACATTTTGGATGGCTAATTTGAAATAGAATTCATTGAGGGAAAATGCATCTCTGCTTATTTGAACTGCTTTGGGGAGTGATAGACTTACTAAGCAATAAAGGAGTGCTGGTGATAAGGCCTGACCATCATCATTATTCTTATGCTGAAGATGTATCAGGTTTGCTGTCTTCAGGCAAGAGCCAAGCGGTGGTTTGATTACATATGAAGTTGTGTGACAAGGGTTATTGACCCTGAGGAGGTAACTGTTTTCATCCTACCTACACTGCGCAAATTAGAATTTCAATTCAGGTGTTCTATTGCCCGTTTTTGTAGAAGAATATGACGGTTGATTTATTTGATCTGCATCATTTTATACATTGTATTTTAAAAGTTGACATCTAGCAGTCCACTTAGGCCTTTTTAAGTCGAGGTTGTAGTGTTATTTAATTCAAATACAAGAAGAGGGAAACATATGTTATAGAAATTCTGTTCTGTTTGCTTTGAAGGAAAAAGAGTAAAATCCCAAACCGAGATCATCTGTATGATATGCTCGTTGCTGACTTATTGGACAGGTCTTCAAAAGCAAGAGGTGGCTACCCAGGTGGAACATGGTGCAGCAGTCCTGAAGTCGGTGGTCCTGCACTTCAATCAACAAGCGCATAAGGAGGGAAAAAGCAATATGGCGATCAGCAAGTTAACTAACATGTAGCGCTCTATCTAGGAGGGTCTCTTTGGATTCAGCCTGTGTGCTTGGCATGTAGCAAGGAATGATAGAGCAGCGTTTGTGCGGTTAATCTTTGGCAGTTTGCTTGCGGTCTAGTTTTGTCACTTGACTTTTAAGTGGTTTCTGGATGCCACTTCGGCTGGACCCTTGGGTGTCCAGGGTGGTTGGCAGTTTTTTATTAGTTCTTATTACTATACGTTATACATGTTATCAAACTCCTGTAATTTCGATGGTTGACGGTAATGAAATTCGGTTTTGACCGTGGTGAGAAAAAAAAGGATTACCAGCCTGATCAGAAGCGCTTGCCTCACAGCAAGGACTTCACATTTACACCAGCTGGAAAGAAGAAATTAGACAGCCGACAGCTGCAGCTGCTACAGTGAAAACCAGCCGTATACAACATCGGGATGAATCTGGAGGAATTTGGATGAATACGAAGAAATTAGACAGCCGACAGTCAAGATGGCAGCAGTGCGTACCGGGTAGCTGCTACCAGCACCCGCCAGATCAAACCAGCCGCAGCGGTAGAAAATTCATTCCATACCAGCACCTGACGGGTAATTTTACCCGACGGGACAATATGAATAGCTTCCAAACCAAAACAAATCAACAATAGAGCAAGGAAATGGTGGAGTGGAATGAGGATGAGGATTAGGGTTTGAGGGAGTTCTTGAATATATATACTCATATGCTTATATGGGTCAAATAAATATATGCTTATATGGGCTAAAATTGCGGAGAGTTGGATATTATTATTTGCGGGCATGGTATCGCGGTATGGGTATGGGTAGTATACACCACACTGACACCCGATGGGTACAAGAATTCGTCCAATAACGTACCCACGGGTGCAAAATGTCTTCCATACCCGCCTCCTTATCGGGTAAAACCCGTCGGGTACTCGGGTTTCGGGTACCCGTTGCCATCTTGAGCCGACAGCTGCAGCTGCTACAGCTTGCCTGGTCCTGTTTGTTGGGAGGAATCTGGAGGAATTTGTGAGAGAGTGAATAGCGAAAACCAGCCGTACACAGTAAAATCCGGCTGGTTTTCTTACCGGCCGAACTGCGCCATAACACTGCCGAGCGGACAGTAGACCGTACCTTTTTAGTATGATATGAGGTTATAGTGTTGTTTTAATTCAATTATGCTTGAGAGAGTATAAACTTACAATGCTGTGTTTCAGCAGATTGTCATGACTTTTGCTAAGACCCGAAAGTTGAGTGGAAGAGAATGCTGAAGATCACTCAAGGCTCTGGCTGGTAGATGGAAATCATGTACGTTCTCGATGTAGCTGATATGTGAATCATATTTTTAAGAGTATTATCACTGACCTTTATGGTTGAGGAAGTGTTTTGTTATTTAGACAGCATGGCGCCATTCCAATTTTTGATAGTCTTTTTGAACGAAATTATGATTTATGATAGCATCTAAGGAAACTTTTAACGACACATGTTTTTTCTCCCTTGGTATTTTTTCTGCATCTTAGGTTAGTCTCAGCTGTGAGTTTTATGGCGTTGTTACCATGACTGTCACATCAGTTTTTGTGTTAGTGTAACTGTGATTACAGGTTTTATCGAGATGAAACTCTTTATCTTTCTTCGCAATTAACCTGATCATGTGTCAGGGTATTAAATACAATGAGACTCAGATAAAACTTCCACTGAGACAAGCCTTATAAAATATATTAAATTTTAACTGCCATTGCATCATTTGTCTCTGCACGTGACTGATATGAATGTGTGATTCCTGTTAGAACAAAGTTTCTCCACTTACCGCTACTGGTT